AAAAATTTTTTTTTTTTTTTTTTTTTTTTTTTTTTTTTTTTTAAATTCCTAACCCCTTTTCTAACACTTCAGTAAAAACAGTCTGGGAAAAATGTAGAATGTCATACTTCTGCCACAAGCTAGCTTGGCTGAAAAAACAGGAGGGCTTGATGACCTTAACTGATAGCATTAAGCTTGAGTGATCTTAAATGATGATGTTAAGTCATCTTTAATTTGGTTTTGGTGCTGAGTTTGTATGTTCATTCTCATTCTCCAGTACAAGTCTTTCTGTATTCTGTCCTAAGCTTGCAAGTTTACTCATGTTTGATCAGTTCATGATCCGATAATTGCCTTCCCCCCTCAGAAAATGATTGAGGTTTCCAGCTAGTAGTCTTCACTTATCTTTAACCTGTCATCTTAAAAATACTCTGAGTAAAGACAAGAAGTTAAAAAAAAAAATTAAAAAAAATTAAAGAAACTGAATTAAGCAGCTATTTCTGGTTTTATTTTAGGGTACCTGATCATCAAGATATAGCTTTTGGGGCTTTGCAGCAGGGTACCAATTGCCTTGACACTTTGGGCCATTTTGCAGATGGTGTTGTTGGAGTTTATGAATGTCATAATGCCGGGGGAAACCAGGTCTGTATGCCATTAATTTTTTTTCCGCAGAATGTGATCTTTAAAAAAAAAAAAAAAGAGAAAAGGAAAAAAAAAGAGAGAAAGGAAAAAAGTGAAACTTAGCAGGTACTGTGTACTGGTGATAGGAAGGTGAACCCAAATCAGCAGATCAGTTGTTATAACAGATTGGCTAAATAAGGTCTCTCTCAAATATAATTTGCATTTTCAGGATTAGAATCTGAGCCCAAAGATTCATTCAGTGTGCATCAAATTATCCCCTTCCTTTGTCTCTATTAATACTTGCTTTTACACTGGAGGCCAATAATTTCCTTCCCAGGGGTTTTATACTTGTATAGAAAGCTTTTTTCAATGAATTGGTGTGTTTCATTTTTTAGGGGGGATTTTTACTTGACAAAAGATTTGGATTGTATTAAGCATAAGGCCTACTAAGGTCAGCAAAACAGAAGAATACTTTACTATGATGCCCTATTAGTCATTTCCAATTCGTGCTAGCAGGGTATAAAAAAAACTGTCTTAAATCTGCATTTGGCTTTTCTAGAAAACAGAGGTGCCTAAATGTCATATCCTGTTCACTCACAGTAAAGGGAGTGTTTCAACAAATCCTTTTAATCCTACTCTTAAACTAATTGCAAATGTGTCAAATCTGTAAATGACAGCATTAATTATTTCACAGAATCTATTTATGCAGTTGTGACTTAGTTGTCGTTCACAAAATATACACATACGTGCTCACTGTTTTGTGTGCTGCTTTATCACTAAATTCTTTTCAGAATCAACCTGACTAGAAATCCAATGTAAGATTAATACTTCAAGTACATCTGTTAAAATAGAAGGCTGACCAATTGCAAATCTACTGTTGAATGAGTATCAGAATTTTGCTCGCTCTGATTTAAATTAGAAGGGGAAAACCCTAAAGTCAGACGAAGCCTAAGATAAAGAAGTTATTTCCTGAAGATGTATCGCGTTGATTTGAATGCATTGCCGTCATACATCTGAGATATGCCTCTTTTCCCTATCATTAAAGAGAACGTATCTGGGGAGGCTTTTTCTATTACCTTTATGAAAGTACACTCATCTTTTCAGAACGCCACAGTGTTTTTTAGGAAGGATGGATGTGTCAGAATTGCCTTGGTGCAGAAATATTGGCAGTTTCTGGTCATGTTGTGTATTCTCTATAGATAAACAAAATTATCTTCTTCTTTTAAACTCCCTTGCCCTGAATCTGACCCTCTTTTCTGTGTAGCTGCTTCTGTGAAGCTGGCCTTGACAAACCAATATACACTTGCTATGAACAGGTCCCTGTGAGAAGACATTCAGACAGATTAAGAGGCAGAACATGTCAAAACCAGGTTTTATGTCCAAGCAGAATTTGTATTGGCTTGGAGGGAATGAACAGCATGGGAGAAGAGGGATAGGGAATAAACCAGAGTCTTTAGATCTGTACTATGTTTTTTGCACCTATTCTTATCAAGAGGGTTTGCGGGGGGTTGGGATTAAGACTACTCAGATACTGTAGGCTGTGGAGACCTTCTCCTATAATTTGAAGAGTGTACTCTGGCTTGTGTTCAACAGAAAATGCAAAATTTAAGTCAAAATGGGATTTCTGCATGCCTCTGCCCCCTGCCCAGGTTGGTAGAATTCAGTGATTCAAAAAGTAGATGTGTACCTCTAAAGGGCTGAAGAAATTGTGGTGTATTTGACAATTGGGTACAAATATGTAGGGTTAGGATAAGGAGCTAAAGGTAAAACAAAATGCATCTAGGTGCAAGGGGAAGTTTTCAGGTTAGTGGTGTTCTACTAACTTTATATTTGATTTGACACAGGTTTTTTCAGATGTCCTGATTTTCAAATTGTTACATAGAGCTATCCGATTTCCAGCCTGTGCCCTGAGCACATACACTGCTTGCAATTTTTCTTCTCCTCTGGTGTAGCGGAACTTGCTTAATCTTATCTCTGTTATAGCTAGTCATAGTTCCTGATCACTGGAGGAAATTAGCTATACACTGTTTCGTACCATGAAGGGCCATCACGTAGATGTCTCCAGCAGCAGAGCTTGGAGCTTTTGTGAAGCAGTACCTTCAGCTTTTAAATGTAGTAATTTCTTGCAGGATTTCTGTTGTGTCTGGGGCTCTTACAGGCTTTTGATGGAAGGGTGAAGATGCATAAAGCAGTATTTTCAAGGCTTTAACTTTCTCTGACTGCAGGGTCCCCAAACACAAGTTTTACCACTTCCCTGATAGTATTTTCAGCTGTCACTATTCAGTATAAATCTTACAAGGGGGCGATCTGTTTCAGGGGCGTTTGTGACTCCTGGTAAGCTCTGAAAATAACTTGCTTAATTCCTTAAGTTGCTAAAAGTGGTTATTAATGATTCTTGTTGACATCTTATGAACTGGACAGAACTGAGAGGCAAGTAATTTTGCTGTCATCTGAGATTAACATTTTAAGAGTGAAAGGAAAAGTGATCACCTTAAGGGTTTGATATGCAAATAAAGGGATACACAGTTCTCCTGTCTTTGCTTTGTTTTGCATAGTTGTCATTATTCTAGTACTTTCATAATATGGTACCCGTCTAATGGCTCGCTACCTGTACGATGGTGATTACTTGTAATCACGTGGGTTAGAAGTTCAGATTGTTTCCTGAGCATCTGTTCTCAAAAGAATTTAATCATTGTTAAATCTGCTGAGTTTAAAAGTGATTATGCAAGCCAAAAATTCAGTTATGGTATCAGAAAATAAGTAAAAAAAAAAAAAAGGGGGGGGGGGGATTAGTCATTTAATTTCTTTCTGAAACACTGATTGCTTGCAAAATAACAGGCTTGGCCCTGTATATTTAGGGGTTTGTATTATACAGCTCTGAATCCTCTTTAGTTGCTGGAGAAAAGCTAATTGTGCCATTTTAAGTAGCGACAAGCATGATTTGGATAATTAGCGTGGCTTTAGTCAATAGATCAGCTTCTTTCCTCAAAGGGTAATTAAACAAATGAAGACCAATCTGGATCCTGGAGACCAAACTCTGGGGAGAAAGGCGTGGAGAGAGTCTGAACATCAGCGCAAGATCAGACCCTGTGTAGAAGGATGCTGAGATCAAACAAGCTGGCCGACAGTATATACAGAACAGCTTTTCTTTGCTATTTAAGAGTTGCATCTTTAAATGTATCTAAAGGAAATTCTGTTCTACATCTGCCTTGGATAGGAAGTAATGTTTTCCCTCTACCCTTGATTTTGGCCCTCTTGTGTATTGCTTTCTGGTGGTCTCTATCCTATTAAGAACTACTGTTTCCTCACTGTGGTACATATGCTTTGTTTAGCGTGTGGGTAGGGTGGCCAGTGACGTTGCAGACCAAGCTTTTAGGGTTTATATATATCGTTATACATATATTTTGCATATATAAATCTCTCCTACAAAGAAGATATGGGGGGGTGTAATACACACACATACAGAGAGAGAGAGGGGTAGATAAAAATATAGCTGTACAAATATTTGGGCAAATACTTGGAACCTGAGGACCTGTGTGACTGCCTGCTGTACTTGTGTGAAGCCAGCAGAGGGAGCAAAGAGACAGCCCAGCCCTGAGCTGACCTGGGGATACTGAAGCAGTGGGAATTACTGTATTTGAAGAGGACCTTTTTTTCCTCTCCTGCTCTGTGGGAAGCAATGAACTGTTCTAATGTGCATATATAGCTGTTTACAGGATTTGAACCTGTACTATACATGCAGAGATAGCATGTGCTCATTGTGCATACGTTAATATATACAATTTTGTACATTTTTTTTTTCCTTCCTTTAGGAATGGGCCTTAACAAAGGACAAGTCGGTGAAACATATGGATTTGTGCCTTACTGTTGTAGACAGAGCACCTGGTTCACTAATAAAACTTCAGGGCTGTAGGGAAAATGACAGCAGACAGGTTAGTATGTTGTGAATGCACTCTGCAAACAGTGGGGAAAACAAGGGTTGTGAAAGAGAATGCAAGAACGTGCACTGGTAATCATATCTTCTATCCATTTTACTCTTCACTCTGTCTTGCTGTTGTGTGTGTGTGTGTAAAGTTAGGATGCATGACATCTGGGAAGAGCAGCAGGAATAAGCTTGTGTACTGAGCTTTTCTTTTCATAGGCCAGTGACAATCTTTTATGAACATCTAGAGATTTTATCCCAACGGTGGCCTTATGTAAAGGTTTCACCCAGCAGCACTGATGTGTAACAGTCTTCAACTGCAACGTCTGTTTTCTGAAATAGAATACGTGTTCCACAACGTATTTTTCAAAGGTCTTGTGCAGTGAAGTTTGAAGATTATGTAGTCTGTGTCTCAGAAGAGCGTGGTTTGGCTTTCCTTTCTTCTTTTCAGCTGTGACCTGTTTATGTGACAGCACTAGACTCCTTCAATTCATTTTTATTAATGCAGCTTTGTAACTTCATCTATTTCCCACGCCTGAGGAAAATCACATTTGCAGAGTCATACCATCTTTTTGATCTTCAACTCTTTCTGCGAAGTCATCGGTTCTGATTGTCTGCCAGCTTTCTTCCTTCTGTATCTCAATTTTTGCAGACAGATAACTGAAATGCTCTTCCTTGATGAAGGAAGAATATTTTTGCCACTTTTCAGAAAAGAAAACTAAGGAAGCAAGATTTTCTTGATAAGGTTTAAAGGCACAATATGTTAGAAATACAACAGAAAAACTTTTTTTTTTTTAACATCCTGTATTTGGGATTTACTCAATCCTTTGCATCACCTTGGGCAAAGAGCTTCTAACAGCACAGATTGACTGGTTGTCTTCTGTACAATTGAAAGGTGTCTGACAGATTTGTGGATTTCTGTAAAGTTGTCTTTAGTGATTGTGCTTCTTCTCTACGTTCAGAATTGTAGTGTTATGTGGATGGGTTTTGTGATTTTTATGTTTTTTCTTCATACCAAAAGCTTCGTACAGGTAACATGGTGTGACAGTGTATTTGAGAAGGGCTGAAGTAGAGGAAAATGATCTGGTGTGTTCTGTATCTATTGCAGTGTGTTAGCTGAATGAATTGTTGTTTTGGCAAGGGTTGCCATAACTTACTTACTCTTATTCAAGGATCATCTAAACTGCGTACTCTTACTGCAGTTTTCACAGCTTTCCCAAGCACAAGCCAGGGAAGCTTACGAAGACTTCAAAGGACAGGATGTAGAACTTATCCTTTTCCCGCTTGTCCAGCTCAATAACTGTATTTTCTCTTTCAGAAATGGGAACAAATTGAAAGCAATTCTAAACTGAGGCACGTTGGCAGCAACCTCTGTCTAGACAGCCGAAATGCCAAAAATGGTGGTCTCACCGTTGAGATCTGCAGTCCTTCTTTGTCACAACAGTGGAAATTCACACTTAACCTGCAGCAGTAGAAGGACTTACAAGCAAAATGCTGGTTTGATTCATAGACGTTGGGCAAAGTTTTGATTGAATTACTGATGTATTTCTTAAAACTTTCCACGGAACTTATATACCTCAGTATTCCACCTTTATCTGAAAGTAGGAGAGTGCTGAAGCAGACACCAGGGATCCAGGGGACTTGGAGCACTGCAAAGATGTCACTGAACATGACTGCAGCACGATTCCTTCTTGGTGCGAAGACTTCAATGGTTCCTTTCTGTCTTCAGTTACATACTTGCACAGCAGATAATTAACTCTAGGAACAACTGATGTATGATAAAAAAAGGATCTGAAGAAACACCTGTGGGGAAACAGGGTGTGGGAGGGAGGGTGGGAAAAATTACTAGGAGAAGGTAATTTGAAAACTCCATTTGCATAGAAATCATGGTTTGTCATTTCCAGAAACAGAAGTGTCATTTTGAAGGTTTTTTTCTCCTGTGTGTACTTGGTAATTTGAATATGAACTTTTCTATGATGGACTCTAAATATAAATATATAAAAGTATATATATTGTCAGCTCCCAATGATTTATATCAGTTTCATCATCCTATAATTATCAACAAAGTGATTGACATATGTATAACGAGAAATTGGATTGGAACGCTAGGAGAGTGAAACTTTATGAAGGTGCGGATTTTGTGCTGCTGAGTATGATGTCCGTGCTAACACTGGATGCTTTTGCTTTGCAAACTGGATCTACTTCTTAACACTTCGCCCTCACTGGAGATCATGAAACTCAGGAGGAGAAAGAAAATAGCAGAATAAGCCAATGCATCTGCACAGATGATTGCTTGGATTGTTTATTCCAACTTGGAAATTCATTACATGTGCTCTGGATAACGTTAAACTTGTATTTGATATTTGTGTTGATACTTTCTGTAGTACTTTGTCTTTAAAATACTTCTTCCTTTGTTACAAAATTATATAAACAGTGCAGATCTTTCATGCAGCCATGTGGGTTCAGCAGAGTTTTATTCTGGGCCCTAATGAGAAAAATTTCTTTGTCTCAAACTCCCCTTTTGAGTTGTAGAAATAAGATAGAATAGTAACGTCACTGTCAACAGCACAAGATCTGAATTTTAATTTGCAAGGATGAGCAGCTATGTAATATCTCTGAATTGCACTTGCTTAATTTATAGACCTACTACTGGGGAATTTTCTTCCATTTTGTTTTTTTAAATGGAGCTTTTGAATGGATTCAGGCTTGGCTCTGGGAATCAGCCTGGATACCAGCAGATCCTATGTGTTTTTAACCATAGAACCTGTGCATTTTGCAGCTTCAGTCCAGCTGATGTCATTTTTATATTAAAATATTACTGTCAAAGTTAACCCCAACTTTGACCTGTCCTTTCTTATGTTTGCATAGACTATATACTTTTTTTATTAAAAGCAAATGCTTCAATGAGCTTTTAAAATGAAAAAGGAAAGGTAAATAAGTACTAATAAGCGAGACAGCATTGACAAAAATTAGTGCAGACATGCAGTGCCAGGAAGTGGTTTTAGTAAGATGATGGATCTCGGAAAAATTTAAGGGTTGATCCTAAGGAGATGAAAAACATCTGGTGTACTGTAATATGCTGGTACAGTTCCCTTCTTTCTTTGTTCCTGGAAGTAAAGTGGTTCCCAATTTTTCAGTTTCCTCTTGCTGCATCTATACATTAGGTGTCGATGTGGTATTCTTCTGGGCAAAATGGCTTTAACTGTGCCAGTCAGTGTGCCCATAAAATACCTTGTGTCTGAAGTTAGGACTTGCAAATACCTGCATACCTTTTGGATGGGGACATGGAATCCTGTTTCTCCCATCCATCATCTGACTACTTTTCTGAATAATTAATTTCCTCTCTCCCCCCCTTCTTCACAATCCACTTTCTCCAAAACTTGCCTGTTTTAGAGGCCATACAGTGGATAAACTCTTTTTCAGCTTTTAGTCTCTCCCTATGTGTAGCCTTTTAACCTAGCTGAGAACTTGAACAACGTGATTCATAAACATAGCAGTAGCTTTCTTCATATTCTGGAAAAATAAATGCTGAAATATGGGCTCAGCAGCAAGTCAGGTTTTTTGAGGTTTTGAAAAACAGAATTTAAAAGTAAAAAAACCCAATGACTGAGCTTCTACCATGGAGGTATTTCCATTTGCAACTTTGATCATAGTAAGGGTAGTACTAACTGAAATCAGCAGTAGCAACTCTGAATATTGACCTGCTGCTTATCTCTGAATCAGAATTGCTAGTAAAAAAAAAAAAAATCCATATTCCACCTCTTACGTCTTCAATGTCAACTGCTATCATAGAAAGTAGGAATATTGTCAGTAATTCCCCATGGATGCTGTGCATAGGGGTTTTAATCTAGGAGCTGTATGTCTCTCTTCTTTGGGAGAACCAAGTGGTATCCTTTTGTTATGTTTACATGACAGCGTGCCAAAGTTACTTACTGTGATTTTAGGGGTTTTTAATGTTGATGAAATTTGCCCATTGAAAGATTAATTAAGAGCCCTTGAAGCAAATTGTGATGGAGTCTCCTGAGAACTTTTCTTACCGTCTTCAGAGCAAGAATGGTGATATTGTTTGTTTTGCAGATTTTCAAAACATAGTTTGGAAACTGTTTTTTCAGTTGGTTTGAAAAGTCTGCTGTACAGAGCTTGTACTTTGTTCATTTTATAGATGGAAACCATCCTTGAAAAATTGTTTAACTTAAATAAAGAAGAATGCTTTATAGATAAATGCGTGGTGGTTAATGTAACTGAGTAAACCCAAGAAGTCTGCCTGGAGCTTGTAGACTGAAGTAGTTTTCAAATGCTGCAGTTCACTTGGCTGTTTCATAAAGTTCCTCTTCTAAAAGTGTGTATATGTGGGTGTATATTTGCATTCATAAAAAGATAATTTGTTTGTATTTAAATTTATATAACTTTGAGGAAATTGTCATATTTTAGAAGCTGCTTTACATTGAGGAGTGAGTTAACACTGACTGTAGTCACCTGAAAATACGCTGTTAAGGCACTCCCCCCTCCTGCCCCGTTAGGTCTAATCTTCTCAAGACTTCCACTGTCCCTCTCTTTGCTGCCCAAAATCACTATGCCAGGCAGGACAGGGCCTCCTCCAGCCGGCAGGATGATTGCAGCAGCAGCAGCTCTCGTAGCTGACTGGGGTGCCTGCCCTCATCTGCTCACGTTGTCTTTCTGCTCTCTCTAATTCAGAGGTCTGGGGTGCACTTGCAGCTAGATCTTAAATACCCCATATTTATATATTAAAAAAAAAAAGACTTTTTTTTTTTTTAAAGAAAGGTATTTTTGAAGGCAAATACTTCACAGGTCTAGTTTAGAAAGTTTGCAAACAAGCTTGCACTGGCAGAGTTGGGAAAGGACCAAATGCTCCACGGTAGGTGACGGAGAAGTGCGCAAGGGTGAGATTCTCCTGCTGCTGTAGGAGTAAGTGGGGCTGCAGCTGGGGCACGGTGCTCCGTGATGGCATCGCCTTGGTGGAGGTGGGCTGTGAGCTAAACGGGTAGGGGATGGTATGGTGCTCTCCGGGAGGGTAAATGGGAAGCAGGAGAATGAATGAAGTTAAAAAAAAAAAAAAAAAAAAAAATCTACTTTGTGTTGTTTTGTCCGGCTTCCAGGATGCCTCAAGTCAGTTCTTGGGGCACATCCTTCTTTTCCACCCTGTGGCATACAGGACTAGGATCCTTGCTCCTGGTCTAAAAAACGTAGCTTTACAGTTAGCCCAAGGACATGATCAGCTAGCATAACCTGCGGGAAAGATTTAAACACTTCTACTCTTTTAGTTGTACTGACAGGAAGATTTTTACTTATCACACTGCAGGAAACGAGAGTTCTTGGGTGCGAACTTACTCTCCCTGTGTAAGTCAGAAGTCAGTGACTAGTTGTCACCTTTCAAAAGTCTAAATTAAATCAAGCAAATAGATCTTTAATACTTACGGTTGGCAAAAATAAGAAGGCCCTGTCAATCTGCAGTAAACAAAAGAAAACAACCTTGTATTTGCAGACTCTATCTGAGAACTGAAATGCGGATTCTCCATCTTAAATGCCCTTTGACACCTGTGAGCTGACAGGTAATACTAAAAGATGATTACAACAGGCTTCTGGCAGTAGAAGCTTTTAATCTAATCCAATGTTAAATGTAGAAGTCTGTCTCTTACATTTCTGCCTAGAGTCTTACACATTTTCTGTGCGTATGGTTCTCAGACTTCTAAGTATCAGGACTGAATGAACCTTCCAGCAAATTTCACATTATTTCTGACTAGAAGTCCATTGTTTCCTTTGCCTTATGCCCAAGCATATATATGAAAACAGTTTCCTATTCAGTGTAATCCATTTTCTGGAATTTCAGGTCATGCTTTTTAGCCAATTCCTATGCATGGGTTTACTCTGCTTGTGGGTCACTGTGCATAAAACCAGATATGCTTATACCCTTTTATAAGGGAATGTTGAACCTTTCCTCGTTGTGGATTAACAAAAGTATATTTTAAATCCTGAATTTTCAAGAAGATGTCTGTGTGTGTTTGGAAAGGAAGCTGAATATTGGGAGAGATTAAAAGGCTGTAACCTGCTTGAGGTAAGGTCTGTTGTCTTGCTTAAAGTGGGTCCTATAGAGCATTCTCCAGTTCCTCTCTGGGGTGTTACTGCTATAACCTTAGTTATTTTAAAATGTTATATTTTTGTATACAAATGCCAGCATCTATTTTGGCTTACTTAGATGTATATTAAATGTAGATACTCTATAAAATTTATGCAGTCCTGAGTTGCATGCGTGCATCACCTGTGTCCTCATTCAGCCTGAAATACAATGAACAATTTCATAGCAATAACTTGTTACAGAACACTCTAGCAAGAGGCTTGTTCCTGTACAGAATGATTTCAAATGAATAGAAACCACTGAAAAAAATAGTCTGGGATAATAAGCCATGATTACAGAATGAGCACAAATGTCAGGGTTGCATCTTTTGTTAGACTGCACATTTTATTTACAGATTAACTTCCAGTAGCTATTTTAAGATCTGCTAGTAATCAAGCTTAAAAATTGGGAATAAAGTCAGTCCACAGATGTTCTCTCTGTACAGCCCTCCAAGAGGCTGTCTGAATGGGTGCAAAATACCCTTTTGATTTGATTTCTTGCAGCACAGCAGCATGTTGTTGCTCTGTATGCAGGAAGAGGGACCTGTTGGACTTCAAGTCCCTATTTCTACCCAGCAGATGTTTTTAATCCAAGGATTTGGGGGAGGGGGTTGTTTTTTGCTTTTTGTGTTTGTTTTTTTTAATTAAAAAAGTTCTGGAAGTAGCAAATAGCTATGTTTTCTGCCATATCTGTATTAATTAATCCTCAGCTTTGGTAATCTGGGCATTATGGTAAAAAGGGGGTTAGAAAATGACCACCAAGCGTCTGTTCTCTGGTTGCGTGGTGAGCACCACTTCTGCAGAACGCTTTTCTCTTAACTTTTGTGCTACCCTTCTTCCTGTCCAGCAAGTTGTTTCTGAAGTGGACGTGAGGTGGATTCCTACGTGGCAGCTCCATCCTCAGCTGAGCCAGCCTGTTTGTTGCTGCTGGACGCTGATCCTGCCTCTGCTCCCTTGTGCTAGCCTTGGTGCCCCTTCCACGAGACAATTAAGTGAATAAAGCAGCAGGACAAGATTAATTTTATTTTTTTTCTCTCTATCTTGGAGAGTTGAGTTGGCCTTTTGAAGGGTCTAGAGAGCTGGAGTTGGCACAAAGTGGCAGGGTTTCATAACCAGAAGCAGGCAAGTGAGGAAGATGTTGAATTTTTCCCCCTCCCCAGCACCAGTAAAACATAAAAGCAGCTTGTCTGTCCTGTGGAGCAGTGGGACCTGGCATCTGCTCAAGGTATTGCTCCTCCCTGCTCTTCACGGTGCGACTTTGGATACAGTTTTGTCACTGTCCTATGCCGATCTGTGAACTAGCAGCAGTTAAAAGGAGCATTCGGAACGCCTTGTGGCGAGCCAGCGTGCGGCGTAAGGGAGGTTGGCAAAAAAACCCAACCCCATGGAAAGAGTGTTGTTACTTTCAGTAGGTGAAAGCCATTCGAGCTTGGCTTAACTAGACTGTAAAATCAAACCTCTTGTTTTCGTGAGAGCGCCTGAGCTGAGGGATGTTCTATTTTGCTTTCCAGCTGAGATGCCTTTAATAATAATAACTATTATTATTACTTATACAAAACAGC